TGGGAAGGCCGGGGAGGGCCTGGTAGGCATTTCGAAAAGCTGAGTAGCAGTAGTCTAATGTTTTCTCAGAGCGAGTGCTACAGTCAATGTGTTGGTAGAACTTCGGTAGCGTTTTCCTCAAATGTGCTTTGTTAAAATCCCCAGCTACAATAAATGCGGCCTCAGGATATGTGGTTTCCAGTTTGCATAAAGTCCAGTGTAGTTCCTTGAGGGCCATTGTGGTATCGGCTTGAGGGGGAATATACACAGCTGTGACTATAACCAAAGAGAATTCTGTTGGGAGGTAATACGGTCGGCATTTGATTGTGATGTATTCTAGGTCGGGTGAACAAAAGGACTTGAGTTTCTGTACGTTATCACAATCACACCATGAGTAGTTAATGATGAAACATACACCCCCGCTTTTCTTCTTCCCAGAGAGTTCTTTATTCCTGTCTGCGCGATGTACTGTTAACCCATCTGGCCGTATGGATGGAGACAGTATATCCCGAGAGACCCATGTTTCCATGAAACAGAGTATGTTACAATCCCTGATGTCTCTCTGGAAGGAGATTCTCGCCCTGATCTCGTCTACTTTATTATCCAGAGACTGAACATTAGCGAGTAATATACTCGGAAGCGGTGGATTGTGTGCGCGCCTCCTGAGTCGGACTAGAAGTCCACTCCGGATAACTTTTATCCGCGGGCGGTGTTTTGGATCAGCCTCTGGAATCAGTTCAATTGCCCTGGTGGGTACGAACAAAGGATCCAATTCGGGAAAGTCGTATTCCTGGTCGTAATGCTGGTGAGTTACCACCGCTCTGATATCCAAAAGTTATTTCCAGGTGTATGTAATAACACAAAAAACAAATCTGGGCTAATAATGTAAGAAATAAGACATGAAAAAAAAAAATACTGCAAAGTTGCTTAGGTGCTAGAAGCAGAGCTGCCCTATCTGTCGGTGCCATCTTGCCAACGTCTGTTCCATTTTGTTTCAACGTAATTACGTTGAAATTACGCGGAAACAACGTTTATTCAGCCAGTGGCCAGTGGGATGTTTTGATACTGATAGGATCGAAAAAAGGGAGCGCTGCTCTCAGGGTCAGCTTTCTCCATTCAAATCTTACCTTAAGATTATACTGTATATTGAGACATATTACAGACAGTAGCCTACAAGTAGCAAAATAGAACTAAATTGATTGAACATTACATTTATTTCAATATGATTGAAATAGCTTGGCCTATAGCCTATTGTTTATATTTTAATGCAGTATTTATATTTTAATCTCAGTTTTCATTTGTTCATATTTTAATGCAGTCATCTCGGTTTTTGATATGACGTATCATTTTATATGTTGCTTGTTTGGATCAAATTGCAAAGACATTGACAACTTTTGTATTTGTAGTCAACTTTGTTTGGAAGTTATCGGTGGTCACAGAGAGACGGATAAACCATGTGATTCTATGTTTAGCGGAGATCTTCTGTGTATAAAGTGACGCTGGAGGGCAAAAAAGCATCTAACGACGCACTTAGCTGTTCCACGAGTGGTCTGAGGCAGGCGTTAGATTATGAGCTTTTTTCAAGCGTAACGTTATTTAACGATGGTTTTGGGAAACAACTCAGAGATTTAACGATGGTCCTACGAAGGTTCTAACGATTAACTTAGCCTTAAGATACTTTTGGGAAACCGGGCCCGGCCCATTTGCTTGGTCATGGTTCCCTCTTGTGGCCGTTCAATCAAATTACTTGAATATAGGTCACGATAACATCAACAAACATTCCTTATCTCAATTTACAATTATGTAGCATAATCGAATAGAATTACAGACTCCACCCTTAAACAGAGTTCATGTAAAAAGTTACTGTAGGTGTAATGGCATAGGACTGTATAGGATTGGGCATGACAACTAAAGGCCCAGTGCAGTTTTATATATATATATTTTACACACTATGAGGTTGGAATAATACTGCGAAATCGTGAAAATTATGCAAATGCCGTTTTAGTGTAAGAGCTGTTTGAAAAGACCGCCTGAAATTTCAGCCTGTTTTGGTGGGAGGGTGACATCACCATGCGGTACATTTTACATTTACATTTTAGTCATTTAGCAGACGCTCTTATCCAGAGCGACTTACAGTTAGTTTATTTTTCATACTGGCCCCCCTTGGGAATCAAACCCACAACCCTGGCGTTGCAAACGCCATGCTCTACCAACTGAGCTACATCCCTACATCGGTACATTTCTTAATAGACCAATAAGACAATAACAGCAAACGTTTTGTTTTCCCCTCCCCTCTCAAACCACTCACAGACAGTCCTAGCAAAATTATTGCGAGAAATTCCTATTTGCTAAGAAGCTATTTTTGTTTCTTTTTTTTAAACCATTTTAATTTAAAACAATCACAGTAAGGTACTTAATTGTTACCCCCAAAATATTTTGATATTGAGAGAAAAACAGCCGCATTGGACCTTTAAAGTTGGCCATATTGGATTAGGCAGTAATCAGGAAGCGAGTTTGCCTGTGGTCCAGTCCGGGAGAGGAGAGGTGAACTCCCTGTGGCTATGTCTGGGACCCTCTGGTCCACTTCCTGGTTAGTGAGAGAGGTCTCTCACAGGCCAGACAGCTCCGGCTCTTGCACTTCATTATCGTGTTGAATTGTGCCAGAATTAAATCGTTACGGAGAAGAAACAGAACAGCCACCTTCCGCTCCAGTTCATTAGAGAATACATTGCATTACATTGTTTCTGACTTCACTTTACACAGAATGGCAACATAAGTATTACGAGTAATAAGAAATCAAGCGTCGTAGTAGTTGGAGCATAACTCAAAAACTAAAACTAAGAAGGAGAAAAGTTCAAAGGCTTTTTCGAAGAGAGTACCGGGTCGTTGCCACATTCCTTTCCGTTTCTATGCGTAGTTTTACAGATGATGATAAGATGATAAAAATACTAATTTCCCATTTAAAAGGAACATGCACATGCAGTAATACAAAATCAGGCTGAAGGGTTCAAGCTGGAAATATACAGAATGAAAGCAGCTTGATTACAATGAAAACATGTTAATACTGATGTTGCACAAGGTACAAAAGCATTACTATTAGCATTGGCAATGGAATGTTAAATCAATGACTAGCAACCTCATATCAGAGACATTAACTGTACATTTTACTGAACAGATCATAAGGCCTAATGCTTGCCCAGGACAAACGATCAACCCACTGGGCACAGACGTCAATTCAATGTCTATTCCACGTTGGTTCAACGTAATTTAATTGAAATGACGTGGAAACAACTTTGATTCAACCAGTGTGTGCCCAGTGGGAATATTTGCCAGCAAATATTCAAACAACAACGAAAATCTTAGATATAGGTCATATGACTTTCACTTAGTACAGTACCTTCATATCCCCTTACAATGTACAAACAAAATATGGGAGCAGAATAAAACCTTGGTACATTTCATAACTGTGACATTCAAGCACATACTAAGATACTTTGGTTCTATCTTGAATATTGGGGAATTACGTTCATAATGTTCTGTATCTTCAAGTTTCATTTTTCCCCCATCATAATAAAAACAGATGGATGGCAGTTACAGCTGTGTTTGGATGAGTGAATGGATGACTATTACAATCAGTTACAGAAGGCCATGAACATTAGTTATAAAAGCTAGTGACCAAAACAAGAAAATTAAGTGTAATATCAGGTAACACAATCGATTTTCATTTGTTTGGCAACAGCTCCACCAAGATAGAAACAGCGCAAAGACACTTGCAGCAACAAACACAATGATGTAATGTTTCAATAAGATAATTGTATTTGATTTTGGTTATAATATCGGCATTATGTCTCATAGGATGATATTACAATAGAAAAATAAACATTGTGTGAAGGCCACAGCACCGATAGATTCATATTCATTCGTACACCATTATTCTGAGTAAAATATTAAAACATAAAATGACATGGTGTAAAAAGAAAGTATTTTGTTACTATGGTCCCCAAAAAATATTCAGATAGTCACATCTCCGTGATGTTAATTTGTGTCTCTGTTGAGGTATGTCTTATTGACAAAATGTTGGGAGTCAAACTTCTGAAATATAAAACAAAACTATAAGTAACACAAGGACATTGAAACAACAATATTAACAAACATACCGTTACTCACAGACAATTGGCACATCTCAGTAAGTAGCAGTTTAACATAACCATACAGGAACCTCCATCGCTCCTCTCCTCTTGGTAACACAGTAGTTAAAGTGAGTGGGTGTACTCCAGCGCATCACACCAGTGTCTCTGGTAGTGTGTCTGTGTTGTCTGTTGATAGGAGCTGCCATATCTGCCACCTCTCTCTCTGCCACTCGGGGCTGTCTGCCACCTCTCCTTCCAGAGGACCAGAGGGGCTCTTAGGGGCCACAGTCTGGGGCCTGGGGCTGCAGCTGCCCTGGGGAGGCCGTCGGGGGCTCTGGGGGGTCACACACTCAGGCTGGTGCGTGGAGAGGGAGAGGGAAGGTGTGGAGTGAGAACATTCTCTGTGTGTTCCTCTGAGAGGTCCAGGGTAGGGAGGGGGAGGTCTTCCATCCCCGCTGCCGCCAGGCTGTCCCACTCTGCCCCTTAGTGCAAGGTCCTCTGAGCTGCCGGCCCCTGGTTGGCCCTGTGGTCGGTGATGTAATAATGAGTCTGTACCCTGCTGTCTTAGCCCTCTCTCCGTCAGAGGGCTACTGCTGCAGCGAGTCACCGGGGGGTGTGGTCTGCACTCAGGCACACCCAATGAGGTGTAAGTTCGTCTGACAGGCAGTTTGCTGTTACCTTGGTGATGGTCGAGTCCTTCTGATGAGCCGCAGGAGCCGCGTTCCGAAACGTCGCCATGGGAACCTGGGGGAAACCATTTATACACATAATCAATGTCTATCTCCATTTAGTCTATGATGTTTATTCTAGCTTGCAAAGTTTAAAAGAGCAAATAATTATGTTTAAAGACAATCAATGTACCAGTGATGTGATGATCCATAAACCCTTTCCTTAGAGAGGCATGCCAGGCACCCCAGACATGTTCATCAGGTATGTCTAATGGAAAAAGAAGACATGTTTCTCAGCCTAAGTAGCCATATACAATACAGCATATTAGTGCTATTTTCAGAAATGAAATGGCCAACGACTCCACCATATTGGGCAGCTCACCTTTGCCTGTGGACGGTGAGTGACAGGTGATGCTGGGATGACCTTTGACGTGGCCAACCAGTGTGAACCGCTCCGGGAACCTGAACAGATCAGAGAGGGGGTTGCTGTCCTCCTGGGCCTTGGAGAGCAGGCGTTCCGACAGCACTGGAGAGTTGTTGTCATAGGGGGACAACTCCCCACTGGAAGCCTTGTTGGAGTCAATGGAGCAGCTCCTCTCCCTCAGAGAAAAGGGATCCTCAGTCCTCAGCGGGCCACTATAGGGGGAGAGGAGAAGAGAGAGACTTTATGAAGTATGTAAAAATGGGACATATGATGACCAGTAGATGTACCATAGCAGGTATTACCTGACCAGGAAAAAACGAATTGCCCTAGTTACAAAGTCTTCCATGATGTACAGAGAAGGGAGAAAACTGAAATTATATGTTATCACAATGAAACTACAGTATTGGTCGTATACACATATTTAACAGATGTTTATTGCGGGTGTAGCTAAATGCTTGTGTTCCTAGCTCCAACAGTGCAGTAGTATCTCATGTTTAGGTAAGAAAACTGAAACTATGTCATCACAATGATGTTTGGGTAAGAAGTGAATCCACACAGCAATACCACCAGGTGGTGGTCGTGTACCTTCTCAGAGACCCATTCATCACTGTACTGGATTGTCACTGATCTTTTTACATTTTTTTTGTCATGTAGCAGATGTTATCTTATCCAGAGCAAGTGGGGTTAAGTGCCTTTCTGAAGGGCATATCGGCAGATTTTTTTTCACCTAGTCAGCTCAGGGATTCAAACCAGCGACACTTCAGTTACGCTCTTAACCACCAGGCTACCTGCTGCCCATTTGGCAGAGGCACAACAGCATGTTGGGGCGGCAGGTAGCTTAGTGGGTAAGAGCGTTGTGCCAGTAACCGTAAAGGTCGCTGGTTCTAATCCCCGAGTCGACTAGGTGAAAAATCTGTCGATATGCCCTTAAGCAAGGCACTTAACCCTAATTGCTCCTGTAAGTCGCTCTGGATAAGAGCGTCTGCTAAACATAAAAAAAAATAAAAAATGTCCAATCGTCCATATCTAAGCACACAAAAAAGGCCACACACTCACGAGTGCTGAGAAGCCTTCCTCCTCAGGAGGTAATCCACCACGTCGGGATCCGTCTCTAGTAGACTCATTAGAACCTCATTCTGCAGGTCAGGCGGCACCTGGGAGGGCCAGAAACATACAATCCTTAACTAGACGTCTCAGTTGAACTGACAGTTGGTACATCGATCTCATTCTCTGTTGTCTTAAACTGGATATCTTAACTCCTTCACTATAAACATCAGCTGTTCAGATGTAGGCCAACTGTTGAGACAGATATTGACACGATAATGTAAATATGTACTCTGAAACACTAAATTACAAGAGCTGAAGCAAGAATGTCTCCTACTCCTACGATGTGTCAAGAGAATGATAATATTGCAGCGGTTCATGTACAGTTTAAAGCTACTGCGCCATTGGTTAACACATGCTCATATCTATATATACAGTGCTATGAAAAAGTATTTGCCCCCTTTCTAATTTTCTCTACTTTTGCATTTGTGATACTGAATGTTATCAGATCTTCAATCAAAACCTAATATTAGATTTTTTTCATAAGTGAACAAATAACACAACAATTACATATTTATTTCATTTATTTCATAAACAAAGTTATGCAACACCCAATTCCCCTGTGTGAAAAAGTAATTGCCCCCTTACACTCAATAACTGGTTGTGCCACCTTTAGCTGCAATGACTCCAACCAAATGCTTCCTGTAGTTGTTGATCAGTCTCTCACATCGCTGTGGAGGAATTTTGGCCCACTCTTCCATGCAGAACTGCTTTAACTCAGTGACGTGTGGGTTTTCAAGCATGAACTGCTCGTTTCAAGTCCTGCCACAACATCTCAATTGGGATTAGGTCTGGACTTTGACCAGGCCATTCCAAAACTTCCAATTTGTTGCTTTTTAGCAATTTTCATGTAGACTTGATTGTGTGTTTTGGATCATTGTCTTACTGCATGACCCAGCTGCGCTTCAGCTTCAGCTCACAGACGGATGGTCTGACATTCTCCTGTAGAATTATCTGATACAGAGCAGAATTCATGGTTCCTTCTATTAAGGCAAGTTGTCCAGGTTCTGAGGCAGCAAAGCATCCCCAAACCATCACACCACCACCACCATGCTTGACCTTTGGTATGATGTTCTTACTGTGGAATTCAGTGTTTGGTTTTCGCCAGGCATAATGGAACCCATCTCGCCCTCCATCTGTGAGCTGAAGCTGAAGCTCAGCTGGGTCATGCAGCAAGACAATGATCCAAAACACACAATCAAGTCTACATGAAAATTGCTAGAAAGCAACAAATTGGAAGTTTTGGAATGGCCTGGTCAAAGTCCAGACCTAATCCCAATTGAGATGTTGTGGCAGGACTTGAAACGAGCAGTTCATGCTTGAAAACCCACACTTCACTGAGTTAAAGCAGTTCTGCATGGAAGAGTGGGCAAAAATTCCTTCACAGCGACGTGAGAACTTTGTTTATGAAATAAATACAGTGGGGAGAACAAGTATTTGATTTACTGCCGATTTTGCAGGTTTTCCTACTTACAAAGCATGTAGAGGTCTGTAATTTTTATCATAGGTACACTTCAACTGTGAGAGATACGCAGACGACACCATTTTGTATACATCTGGCCCTTCATTGGACACTGTGTTAACAAACCTCCAAACGAGCTTCAATGCCATACAACAATCCTTCAGTAGCCTCCAACTGCTCTTAAACACTAGTAAAACTAAATGCATGCTTTTCAATCGAACGCTGCTGGCACCCGCCCACCCGACTAGAATCACCACTCTCGACGGGTCTGACCTAGAGTATGTGGACAACTACAAATACCTAGGTGTCTGGTTAGACTGTAAACTCAACTTCCAGACTCACATAAAGAATCTCCAATCCAAAGTTAAATCTAGAATCGGCTTCCTATTTCGCAACAAAGCCTCCTTCACTCATGCTGCCAAACATGCCCTCGTAAAACTGACTATCCTACCGATCCTTGACTTCGGCGATGTCATTTACAAAATAGCCTCCAACACTCTACTCAGCAAATTGGATGTAGTCTATCACAGTGCCATCCGTTTTGTCTCCAAAGCCCCATACACTACCCACCACTGTGACCTGTACGCTCTTGTTGGCTGGTCCTCACTACATGTTCGTCGTCAAACCCACTGGCTCCAGGCCATCTATAAATCACTGCTAGGCAAATCCCCGCCTTATCTTAGCTCATTGGTCACCATAGCAGCACCCACCCGTAGTCTGCGCTCCAGCAGGTATATCTCACTGGTCATTCCCAAAGCCAACACCTCCTTTGGCCGCCATTCCTTCCAGTTCTCTGCTGCCAATGACTGGAACGAATTGCAAAAATCTCTGAAGCTGGAGACTCTTATCTCCCTCAATAACTTTAAGCATCAGTTGTCAGAGCACCTTACCGATCACTGCACCTGTACACAGCCCATCTGAAATTAGCCCACCCAACTACCTCATCCCTATATTGTTATTTATTTTGCTCATTTGCACCCCAGTATCTCTATTTGCACATAATCTCTTGCACATCTAGCATTCCAGTGTTAATACTATTGTAATTATTCTGCACTATAGCCTATTTATTGCCTTACCTCCATAACTTGCTACATTTGCACACACTGTATATATATTTTCTGTTGTATTTCTGACTTTATGTTTTTTACCCCATATGTAACTCTGTGTTGTTGTTTTATTGCACTACTATGCTTTATCTTGGCCAGGTCGCAGTTGTAAATGAGAACCTGTTCTCAACTGGCTTACCTGGTTAAATAAAGGTAAAAAAAAAAAAAAAAAAAAAAGAGATGGAATCTAAAACAAAAATCCAGAAAATCACATTGTATGATTTTTAAGTAATTAATTTGCATTTTATTGCATGACATAAGTATTTGATCACCTACCAACCGGTCAATCACCCTCGGTCTGGGGCTCCATGCAAGATCTCACCTTGTGGGGCATCAATGATCATGAGGAAGGTGAGGGATCAGCCCAGAACTACATGGCAGGACCTGTTCAATGACCTGAAGAGAGCTGGGACCACAGTCTCAAAGAAAACCATTAGTAATACACTACGCCGTCATGGATTAAAATCCTGCAGCGCACGCAAGGTCCCTCTGCTCAAGCCAGCGCAAGTCCAGGCCCGTCTGAAGTTTGCCAATGACCATCTGGATGATACAGAGGAGGAATGGGAGAAGGTCATGTGGTCTGATGAGACAAAAATATAGCTTTTTGGTCTAAACTCCACTCGCCGTGTTTGGAGGAAGAAGAAGGATGAGTACAACCCCAAGAACACCATCCCAACCGTGAAGCATGGAGGTGGAAACATCATTCTTTGGGGATGCTTTTCTGCAAAGGGGACAGGACGACTGCACCGTATTGAGGGGTGGATGGATGGGGCCATGTATCGCGAGACCTTGGCCAACAACCTCCTTCCCTCAGTAAGAGCATTGAAGATGGTTTGTGGCTGGGTCTTCCAGCATGACAACGACCCGAAACACACAGCCAGTGCAACTAAGGAGTGGCTCCGTAAGAAGCATCTCAAGGTCCTGTAGTGGCCTAGCCAGTCTCCACACCTGAACCCAATAGAAAATATTTGGAGGGAGCTGAAAGTCTGTATTGCCCAGCGACAGCCCCGAAACCTGAAGGATCTGGAGAAGGTCTGTATGGAGGAATGGGCCAAAATCCCTGCTGCAGTGTGTGCAAACCTGGTCAAGACCTACAGGAAACGTATGATCTCTGTAATTGCAAACAAAGGTTTCTGTACCAAATATTAAGTTCTGCTTTTCTGATGTATCAAATACTTATGTCATGCAATACAATGCAAATTAATTACATAAAAATCATACAATGTGATTTTCTGGATTTTTGTTTTAGATTCCGTCTCACACAGTTGAAGTGTAGCTATGATACAAATTACAGACCTCTACATGCTTTGTAAGTAGGAAAACCTGCAAAATCGGCAGTGTATCAAATACTTGTTCTCCCCACTGTATGTAATTGTTGTGTTATTTGTTCACTTATGTTCCCTTTATCTAATATTATATTTTGGTTGAAGATCTGATAACATTCAGTATCACAAATATGCAAAAGTAGAGAAAATTAGAAAGGGGGCAAATACTTTTTCATAGCACTGTGTATATATATATATATATATATATCTTAGATTAAGCAATGCAATGGAATGGGTAAGGGTCGTTGTGAGACAGGCAAAAATGGTTTAGTGTTGAAAGATCCCACAGACTAAGGTTAAGAAAAATAGAGCTAGGTTATACTATACCTATTCCATCTATTTTTGGACTTATCAAATTAATGACATTGATTCTTGAAGAATATAACTTATAAATGCCTCATGAGCTAAGTTCAACGGTCGTACCCCATCAGATACAAAAATATACTGAACAAAAATATAAACGCAACAATTTCCAAGATTTTACTGAGTTACAGTTCATAAGGAAATCAGTCAATTGAAACACATTCATTAGGCCCTAATCTATGGATTTCACATGACTTGGAATACAAATATGCATCTGTTGATCACAGATACCTTAAAGAAATTGTATAGTCTCCTGTAGCTCAGTTGGTAGAGCATGGCACTTGCAACGCCAGGGTTGTGGGTTTGTTTCCCACGGGGGCCAGTATGAAAATGTATGCACTCACTAACTGTAAGTCGCTCTGGATTAGAGCGTCTGCTAAATAACTAAAATGTAAAATGTAGGGGCATGGATCACAAAACCAGTCAGTTTCTAGTGTGACCACCATGTGCCTCATGCAGCGCACCACATCTCCTTCGCATAGAGTTGATCAGGCTGTTGATTGTGGCCTGTGGAATGTTGTCCGACTTCTCTTCAATGGCTGTGAGAAGTTGCTGGATATTGGCAGGAACTGGAACATGCTGTCGATCCAGAGCATCCCAAACATGCTCAATGGGTGACATGTATGGTGAGTATGCAGAACTGGGACATTCTCAGTTTCCAGGAATTGTGTACAGATCCTTGATATGTGCCGTGCATTATCATGCTGAAACATGAGGTGATGGCAGAGGATGAATGGCACCACAATGGGTCTCAGTATCTCGTTATGGAATCTCTGTGCATTCAAATTGCTATCGATAAAATGCAATTGTGTTTGCTGTCTGTAGTTTATGCCTGCCCATACCATAACCCTACCGCCACCCATCTGGGGCACTCTGTTCACAATATTGACATCAGCAAACCGCTCACCCACACGACGCCATACACATCATCTGTGGTTGTGAGGCCAGTTGGATGTGCTGCCAAATTCTCTAAAACAACGTTGGCGCAGCTTATGGTAGAGAAATGAACACTCAATTCTCTGGCAACAGCTCTGGTGGACATTCCTGCAGTCAGCATGCCAATTGCACGCTTCCTCAAAACATGAGACATCTGTGGCATTGTGTTGTATAACAAAACTGCACATTTTAGAGTGGCCTTTTATTGTCCCCAGCACAAGGTGCACCTGTGTAATGATCATGCTGTTTAATCAACTTCTTGATATGCCACACCTGTCAGGTGGATGGATTATCTTGGCAAAGGAGAAAAGCTCACTAACAGAGATGTAAACAAATTTGTGCACAAAATTGGAGAGAAATACAATTTCTGGGATCTTTTATTTCAGCTCATGAAACATGGGACCAACACTTTACATGTTGCATTTATATTTTTTATCAGTATACAAATCTTAGCAGTCTGTCAAATTAAATCTTATCACATCTAACTCAATTTCACATGGGGTGAGTCATCATGGCATAGTCTGAGGCAATCTATCTAGGGTGACCACATGTCCCAGATTGTGCGGGTTAGTCCTGCATTTTATTTGTGATATACAGTGCATTCTGAAATTATTCAGACCCCTTCCCTTTTTCCTCATGTAGTTACGTTAAAGCCTTATTTTAAAATGCATTAAATTAGATTTTTTTCCTCATCAATCTACACACAAAACCCCATAATGACAAAGCGAAAACAGGTTTAGAAAATGTTGCTAATTTATTTATTTTTATTTACATATGTATTCAGACACTTTGCAATGAGACTCGAAATTGAGCTCAGCTGCATCCTGTTTCCATTGGTCATCCTTGAGATGTTTCTACAACTTGATTGGAGTCCACCTGTGGTAAATTCAATTGATTGGACATGATTTGGAAAGGCACACACCTGTCTATATAAAGGTCCCACAGTTGACAGTGCATGTCAGAGCAAAAACCAAGCCATGAGGTCAAAGGAATTGTCCGTAAAGCTCAGAGGCAGGATTTTGTCGAGGCACAAATCTGGGGAAGGTTACCAAAACAATTTCTGCAGCATTGAAGGTCCATCACTAAGAACACAGTGGCCTCCAACATTCCTAAATGGAAGAAGTTTGGAACCACCAAGACTCTACCCAGAGCTGGCCGCCCGGCCAAACTGAGCAATCGGGGGAGAAGGGCCTTGGTCAGGGAGTTGACCAAGACTGAGATGGTCCCTCTGACAGAGCTCCAGAGTTCCTCTGTGGAGATGGGAGAACATTCCAGAAGGACAACCATCTCTGCAGCACTCACCCAATCAGGCCTTTGTGGTAGAGTGGCCAGACGGAATCCACTCCTCAGTAAAAGGCACATGACAGCCCACTTGGAGTTTGCCAAAAGGCACCTAAAGGACTCTCAGACCATCAGAAACAAGATTCTCTGGTCTGATGAAACCAAGATTGAACTCTTTGGCCTGAATGCCAAGAGTCACGTCTGGAGGAAACCTGGCACCATCCCTACGGTGAATAATGGTGTTGGCAGCATCATGCTGTGGGGAAATATTTCAGGGGCAGGGACTGGGAGACTAGTCAGGTTCTAGGGAAATATGAACAGAGCAGAGTACAGAGAGAACCTGCTCTAGAGCATTCAGGACCTCAGACTGGGGCGAATGTTCACCTTCCAACAGGACAACGACCCTAAGCACACAGCCAAGACAATGCAGGAGTGGCTTCGGGACAAGTCTCTGAATGTCCTTGAGTGGCCCAGCCAGAGCCCAGACTTGAACCCATCTATCATCTCTGGAGAGACCTGAAAATAGCAGTGCAGCAACGCTCCCCATCTAACCTGACAGAGTTTGAGAGGATATGCAGAGAAGAATGGTAGAATCTCCCCAAATAAAGCTGTGCCAAGCTTGAAGCGTCATACCCAAGAAGACTCAAGGCTGTAATCGCTGCGAAAGGTGCTTCAACAAAGTACTGAGTAAAGGGTCTGAATACTTATGTAAATGTGATTTCAGTGTTTTATTTTTAATACATTTGCAAAAATGTATAGAAACATTTCTTTGCTTTGTCATTATGCGATATTGTGTGTATAGAGGGGGAAAAAACTATTTAATCAATTTTAGAATAAGGCTGTAACGTAACAAAATATGGAAAAAGTCAAGGGGTCTGAATACTTTGATTGCACTGTAAGCAAACATGGGGGTGTATACCCTCAAAATATGCTTAAAACTATACTTTTGATATATTGAGTGGTCAGTCCATGCGTCAATAGCTTTGTCTATGAATTTAAGAGTGATTACATTTCTCCAGGCCCATCCCTCAACTTTTCACCAAAACAGAGGCGGGGGTGTATGCTTTGTTATTGTTTCAACTGAGGATTTTCCCTTTAAGAAAAATAGAGCTTGGTCCAGAAAGAAACTGTAAAGACACTGTAAATCAGTCTGTCCCAATCCATGGTCCTTCTTTTCCTGGACCTAACATGGACCCGTACAGGAGTGGAAAACAATGGCTTGAGTTTATTATCTTCTCTGTGGAGCTTGGTTTTATGAGGCTTAGGCCTTCTCGAAAAACGTATAAAGCTCATGTTTACATTTCATTAGATGGAGCCACTATTACATGAATACTTCAGGATTTTGGCAATGAGACCCTTTATCTACTTCCCCAGAGTCAGATGAACTTGTGGTTACCATTGTTTTGTCTCCGCGTGCAGTTTGAAGGAAGTTCCTAACTAGAGCTAGTGCAATGGCTAACTAGAGTAGCGTTACCGCGATGACCGGAAGTCTATGGTATCTGCTAGCAAGCGTCGAGTCATTGCGCTAACGCTAGTTAGCACTGACGTGCGAAACTACCCCTTTCCTTCTTAAAAATTGAATCCATGGGGAAATAGATAACAGGCCTCATTGCCAAAATCCAGAAGTATCCCTTTAACCATGAGAAGTCCCCTAAACACAATTCTTCAAATTGTTTGTCAGCTCTGCCAATGTTTTACTCTGTCCTCTATCTAGTGTGATAAACGCTATATGTGTGTGCCATGTTATAGTGTTTTCCGTAAGGCGAGAGCTTACCATGAAGAGGGTCTCATACGTGGTGATCATGCACTGTACCACGCCAATGATGGCTGTGCTCTCCTCGGCGCGGGCAAAACTCTGGACGGCAAACTCCTTGTCTGAGCTCTTCTGCTTGTGTAGAAGGTTGGGCCCAAAGACGGTGGCCAAGTTGAGTGATGTCATCTTGTTCCCTGTAATCTAAAAGACAGCAGTTTTGACAATGAGGACACACACACACACACACACACACACACACACACACACACCTTTCTGAGATGCTCTCCTGCCAGTACAGGCAAACATGCGCTCCTTCTGCTCGGTAGGATACGAGCAGTTTGTTATGCATCGTCACGAAACCCCCAGTAATAACAGGATAATGAAGCCTGAATTGATCTCATTCTGGCTGTCTGGCCAGCAGCCCCACAACCTCACAGGCCAAGTACGTGATTGTTAGCAATACATTTTCCTCTGACCTTTTGTGGTTACATGAAACATTTCAGGATTATGCTGAAAGTTGGGTTAACCTGAAGGATTAGTCAAGGTAACGCTGAATACAAAACCTCAGACGACTTTCTGGTCTTTCTTTAAGTTGAATGAAGAATTAACATGGATAAGCAGTCATTATACAGATGTTGTTTTTTTTTGTTGTTTTTTTATAAATGATGATTATGGTAGCAATGGAAAATAATTAATTCACATGGCTGACTTGAAGGCTTCTGATGTCTTACACAGAGAGGTGTATACATATTCAAACAGAGGAGTGTGGGAATGAATATGCACTTATGCCGCCCTTGTCAACATGAATAAAGATATGTCTGTCAATTTGTTACATCAGAATGTAAAAGGGATCCTTCACATGTACTCCACTTACTAGCATGTTAATAGTAGCTCAGCTGGTAGAGAACGGCGCTTGTAACGCCAGGGAGTGGGTTCGATCCCCGGGACCACCCATACACAAAACATTTATGCACGCATGACTGTAAGTCGCTTTGGATAAAAGCGTCTGCTAAATGGCATATTATTATTTATTATTATTAATAACAATGTAGTCCGTGCTGTAATGTAAAATGATAGCAGTATTTCGATAGATGAATATGATTCATGACCTACTACAACATTCATCCTTGAAAGTTGATCCCAGACAAAATGAGAAAAGGACTTGAGCGAATTAATTACACTACTGACCTCCGATCCTGTCCTGCTCTGCCCCGTCCTCCAGTCGTCCTGTCCTGCCCTGTCCATTCCTCACCTCATGTCCGTCCCTGTCCTGGCTGTCCTCATGTCCTGTCTTCCTGTCCTCCTGTCCGGTCCATTCCTCATGTCTATCCCTGTCCTGGCTGTCCTGTCCTCCTGTCCTGTCCTCCGGTCCTGTCCTCACCTCATGTCCATCCCGGTCCTGGCTGTCCTGTCCTGGCTGTCCTGTCCTCATCTCATGTCCGTCCCTGTCCTGGCTGTCCTGTCCTCTCCTGTCCTCCTGTCCTCACATCATGTCCGTCCCTGTCCTGGCTGTTCTGTTGTCCTGTCCTGTTGTCCTGTCCTGTCCTCCTGCCTCACCTCATGTCCATCTCTGTCCTGTCCTCTTGTCCTGTCCTCACCTCATGTCCGTCCCTGTCCTGGCTGTCCAGTCCTCCTGTCCTCACATAATGTCCGTCCCTGTCCTGGCTGTCCTGTCCTGTCCTGTCCTGTCCTCCTGCCTCACCTCATGTCCATCTCTGTCCTGTCCTCTTGTCCTGTCATCACCTCATGTCCGTCCCTGTCCTGGCTGTCCAGTCCTCCTGTCCTGGCTGTCCTGGCCTCCTGTCCTGTCCTCACCTCATGTCAGTCTCTGTCTTGGCTGTCCTGTCCTGTCCTCCTGCCTCACCTCATGTCCATCTCTGTCCTGTCCTCTTGTCCTGTCATCACCTCATGTCCGTCCCTGTCCTGGCTGTCCAGTCCTCCTGTCCTGGCTGTCCTGGCCTCCTGTCCTGTCCTCACCTCATGTCAGTCTCTGTCTTGGCTGTCCTGTCCTGTCCTCCTGCCTCACCTCATGTCCATCTCTGTCCTGTCCTCTTGACCTGTCATCACCTCATGTCCGTCCCTGTCCTGGCTGTCCAGTCCTCCTGTCCTCACATAATGTCCGTCCCTGTCCTGGCTGTCCTGTCCTGTCCTGTCCTCCTGCCTCACCTCATGTCCATCTCTGTCCTGTCCTCTTGTCCTGTCATCACCTCATGTCCGTCCCTGTCCTGTCCTTTCCATTCCTCACCTCATGTCCGTCCCTGTCCTCACCTCATGTCCATCCCCGTCCTGGCTGTCCTGTCCTGGCTGTCCTGTCCTCCTGTCCTGTCCTTATGTCCTGACCTAATGTCCTGACCTAATGTCCTGACCTAATTACCTGTCCTGGCTGTCCTGTCCTCCTGTACTGCCTCACCTCATGTCCGTCCTGGCTGTCTTGTCCTGGCTGTCTTGTCCTGTCCTCACCTCATGTCCATCCCTGTCCTGGCTGTTCTGCCTGTCCTGTCCTCCTGTCCTGTCATCCTGTCCTCCTGCCTCACCTTATGTCCGTCCCTGTCCTGGCTGTCCTGTCCTTCTGTCCTGTCCTCCTGTCCTCACCTCATGTCCATCCCTGTCCTGCTGTCCTGTCCTGGCTGTCCTGTCCTCCTGTCCTGTCCTGGCTGTCCGGCCCACCTGTCCTGTCCTCCTGTCCTGTCCTCCATTCCTCGCTTCATATCCATCCCTGTCCTGGCTGTCCTGGCTGTCCTCTCCTCCTGTCTTCACCTCATGTCTTTCCCTGTCCTGTCCTCCTGTCCTGTCCTCCTGTCCTGTCCTCCTGTCCTCCATTCCTCACCTCATGTCCGTCCCTGTCCTGTCTGTCCTCTGCGTGTGTGGTCACCGTGGCCAGGAACTCCAGGAGGCGTTGCAGGGTGTCACTGTTGCAGGGTGGCAGCAGATACACCAGCAGCTGGATGGTGCTCTCCTGGTCTGGATGGTCCAGTACTGGAGAGGAGGACAAACACAACTCACTCTCATCCTCACAGACACATTTCAACTCACTACAGACGGTATAGGAATCAGTTGTGTGAAGTATATACAGTGAGGGAAAAAAGTATTAGATGAAGCTGATTTTGTACGTTTGCCCACTGACAAAGACATGGTCAGTCTATAATTTTAATGGTAGGTTTATTTGAACAGTGAGAGACAGAATAACAACAAAACATTCCAGAAAAACGCATGACAAAAATTTTATAAATTGATTTGCATTTTAATGAGGGAAATAAGTATTTGACCCCCTCTCAATCAGAAAGAGTTCTGGCTCCCAGGTGTCTTTTATACAGGTAACGAGCTGAGATTAGGAGCACACTCGTAAAGGGAGTGCTCCTAATCTCAGCTTGTTACCTGTATAAAAGACATCTGTCCACAGAAGCAATCAATCAGATTCCAAACTCTCCACCATGGCCAAGACCAAAGAGCTCTCCAAGGATGTCAGGGACAAGATTGTAGACCTACACAAGGCTGGAATGGGCTACACGACCATCACCAAGCAGCTTGGTGAGAAGGTGACAACAGTTGGTGCAATTATTCGCAAATGGAAGAAACACAAAATAACTGTCAATCTCCCTCGGCCTGGGGCTCCATGCAAGATCTCATCTCATTGCAATGATCATGAGAACGGTGAGGAATCAGCCCAGAACTACACGGGAGGATCTTGTCAATGATCTCAAGGCAGCTGGGACCATAGTCAACAAGAAAACAATTGGTAACACACTACGCCGTGAAGGACTGAAATCCTGCAGCGCCCGCAAGGTCGCCCTGCTCAAGAAAGCACATATACATGCCCGTCTGAAGTTTGCCAATGAACATCTGAATGATTCAGAGGAGAACTGGGTGAAAGTGTTGTGGTCAGATGAGACCAAAATGGAGCATCAACTCAACTCGCCGTGTTTGGAGGAGGAGGAATGCTGCCTATGACGAACACCATCCCCACCGTCAAACTTGGAGTTGGAAACATGATGCTTTGGGGGTGTTTTTCTGCTAAGGGGACAGGACAACTTCATCGCATCAAAGGGACGATGGACGGGGCCATGTACCGTTAAATGTTGGGTGAGAACCTCCTTCCCTCAGCCAGGGGATTGAAAATGGGTCGTGGATAGGTATTCCAGCATGACAATGACCCAAAACACACGGCCAAGGCAACAAAGGAGTGGCTCAAGAAGAAGCACATTAAGGTCCTGGAGTGGCCTAGCCAGTCTCCAAACCTTAATCCCATAGAAAATCTGTGGAGGGAGCTGAAGGTTCGAGTTGCCAAACGTCAGCCTCGAAACCTTAATGACTTGGAGAAGATCTGCAAAGAGGAGTGGAACAAAATCCCTCCTGAGATGTGTGCAAACCTTGTGGCCAACTACAAGAAACGTCTGACCTCTGTGATTGCCAACAAGGGTTTTGCCACCAAGTACTAAGTCATGTTTTGCAGAGGGGTCAAATAATTATTTCCCTCATTAAAATGCAAATCAATTTATAACATTTTTGACATGTGTTTTTCTGGATATTTATGTTGTTATTCTGTCTCTCACTGTTCAAATAAACCTACCATTAAAATTATAGACTGATCATTTCTTTGTCAGTGGGCAAATGTACAAAATCAGCAGGGGATCAAATACTTTTCCCCTCACTGTAAATATAAATATATATATATACATTTCCTCGTTTTCTTAATAACAAACTACTTTATGTGTAACTAAACCCTTCACACATTGGGTTGATGAAGGCTATGTGAAGTGTGGTGGTGAGATTGTGTGTCATATTGTGGTATGAGGTTTAGATGTGAGCATAAAGTATGGGTTTAATAATGTGTGTGTGTGTGGCCAGGCCAGGGTGTGTGTGGCCAGGGGCAGGCCAGGCCAGGGTGTGTGTGTGTGTGTGTGTGTGTGGCCAGGCCAGGGGTGTGTGTGTGTGTGTGTGTGTGTGTGGCCAGGCCAGGGGTGTGTGTGTGTGTGTGTGTGTGTGGCCAGGCCAGGGTGTGTGTGTGTGTGTTTGTGTGGGGCCAGGCCAGGCCAGGGTGTGTGTGTGTGTGTGTGTGTGTGTGTGTGTGTGTGTGTGGCCAGGCCAGGCCAGGGTGTGTGTGTGTGGCCAGGCCAGGGTGTGTGTGTGTGTGTGTGTGTGTGTGTGTGTGTGGCCAGGCCAGGCCAGGGTGTGTGTGTGTGTATGTGTGGGGCCAGGCCAGGCCAGGGTGTGTGTGTGTGTGGCCAGGCCAGGGTGTGTGTGTGTGTGTGTGTTTGTGTGGGGCCAGGCCAGGCCAGGCCAGGGTGTGTGTGTGGCCAGGCCAGGGTGTGTGTGTGTGTGTGTGTGTGTGTGGCCAGGCCAGGCCAGGGTGTGTGTGTGTGGCCAGGCCAGGGTGTGTGTGTGTGTGTGTGTGTGTGTGTGGCCAGGCCAGGGTGTGTGTGTGTGTGTGTGTGTGTGTGTTCCTTACACATGGTGTTGATGAAGGCGGTGTAGAGCTCTCTGCTCAGCAGGGGTTCAGGCATGTCCCTGAGGAACTCCTTGAGCAGCGCGGCCACATCATGGACACTGTGCGCCTCGTCCACCTGGACTTCCACTCCCTGGTCACACTCCTCTCTCAGCTGGACACAACATCACAACATCCCACCCTCCACAGGTTAACACTAGAAACACACTAGGAATTTCACAGTGTGTTTGACGAGCACCTCATCTATGTGTTCGTCGGCATCTTCCAGAGAAACCTTACCTGCCGTACTCTCTTCTTTGAGCTTCCTACACGGAAGATGCCAACCGTCTGTAGACCTAAATTACATGGAGAAATAGAAGGGCAAATCTGCTGTGACACCAACAGGGAAAACGTGTACATAAACTCAACTCACGATAAAAAAAAATCCTCGGCAAATCATATCCTCCATTGACTTCAGTGACTGACTTATGTGAAAGTCTGTGTTGTCGGTGCTTATCTCAACTGTGAATCGGACCCAAATATGCGTAAGACTGTAAAAAATGTACGACTTTTTTGAAGAATGACGGCAGTACTGTATCCGTACCATATTTCTCCAGGTGCAGGCAGCAGTTCTCCACTACCCTGGGAACCTGTCTGTAGATGGGGTTGAGGCTGAGCTTCTTGTCCCTCTGCTTCTGCTTGTTGCTGGGCGTCTCGGCTGGTAGGGACAGCTGCAGGGCCTCCAGCAGGCGAGACTGATTGTCATCCAGGTCAGTGATGCAATCCACAGACACTCCTCCCTGCCAGATACACAGACACAGGGTTGAGTGAGTACAGTACGGCAATATGGAGAAGTGATGGATAGCATATGGCAACTAGCATAGCATCGAGTGCATGGCATGGAATGATGGATTATATACACAATGCATTCGGGAAGGTATTCAGACCCCTTTCACTTTTTCCACATTTTGTTACGTTACAGCCTTATTTTAAAATGGATAAAATTGTTTTTTTCCTCCCCTCAGGAATTTACCCACAATACCAAAGCAAAAAACAGGTTTTTGGAAATGTATTACAAATAAAATAAAAAATGAAATATTACATTTACATAAGTATTCAGACCCTATAATCAGTCCTTTGACGAAGTGCCTTCGGTAAAATATGCAAACATTTCTAAAAACCTGTTTTCGCTTTTGTCATTATGGGGTATTGTGTGTAGATTGATGAGGAAAATGTTTATGTAACACATTTTTAGAAATAAGGCTGCAACGTAACAAAAGGTGGAAAAAAAGGGAAGGGGTCTGAATACTTTCCCGAACTTTCCCTAAGTGGATGGCATACATTGAAATGAAGTGGGAGCCTGGCCAGCAGTATTTCTACCTCTGCCCATCAAGTGATATGAACAGGTTGGTGTGGATATAACAGAATATATTCAGACTCATCCTATAGGCTTGTTAGAACAGCCACCTACCCTCCTGCGGGTGTGTGGCGCTGCCTCGGGCATGTTGGGCGAGGGCAACTCGCTGGCCGTCTCAGACGTGGAGCTGAGAGACGAGTTGCTGCTGGACAGCTCCTTGTCTTTGGTGCCCTTCCGGGAGGGGAGGTGTAGCAGGGAGGACACAAGGTCACTGGGGTCACGGTGCTCCTCGCGCTGGGGCTCCTGACGCTGCTTGTGGGCGCGATCATTAGAGATCACCTGCGACAGCAGTATGCCGAAGGCCTGGGGCGTTGACTCTATGGTGGATTGGGACGGACAAGGAGGCAAAAGGGGAGGAGCCAGAGTTAATATTCATATATTCAGCATTAAATTAAATGGTCAATCCATAGCCTTGCTTCAAAGTACGAAGTACTGTGCAGTGAAGCATGGATGGCTATAAACCATGCTTCCTTTTTTTGTTGTTGCTGCCTTTCAATTTCCCGTAGGCCCTCTAATTGAAAACTCTTATCTATATAAAAACTTCTCTAAAAAGGTCCTTGGGGAAATGCAATGTTTAACCTAAACAGTATCTTCACCACATACAGTGGGGAAAAAAAATTATTTAGTCAGCCACCAATTGTGCAAGTTCTCCCACTTAAAAAGATGAGAGAGGCCTGTAATTTTCAGCATAGGTACACGTCAACTATGACAGACAAAATGAAAAAAATAAATCCAGAAAATCACATTGTAGGATTTTTTATGAATTTATTTGCAAATGATGGTGGAAAATAAGTATTTGTGTCAATAACAAAAGTTTCTCAATACTTTGTTGTATACCCTTTGTTGGCAATGACACAGGTCAAACGTTTTCTGTAAGTCTTCACAAGGTTTTCACACACTGTTGCTGGTATTTTGGCCCATTCCTCCATGCAGATATCCTCTAGAGCAGTGATGTTTTGGGGCTGTCGCTGGGCAACACGGACTTTCAACTCCCTCCAAAGATTTTCTATGGGGTTGAGATCTGGAGACTGGCTAGGCCACTCCAGGACCTTGAAATGCTTCTTACGAAGCCACTCCTTTGTTGCCCGGGCAGTGTGTTTGGGATCATTGTCATGCTGAAAGACCCAGCCACGTTTCATCTTCAATGCCCTTGCTGATGGAAGGAGGTTTTCACTCAAAATCTCACGATACATGGCCCCATTCATTCTTTCCTTTACACGGATCAGTCGCCCTGGTCCCTTTGCAGAAAAACAGCCCCAAAGCATGATGTTTCCACCCCCATGCTTCACAGTAGGTATGGTGTTCTTTGGATGCAACTCAGCATTCTTTGTCCTCCAAACACGACGAGTTGAGTTTTTACCAAAAGGTTATATTTTGGTTTCATCTGACCATATGACATTCTCCCAATCCTCTTCTGGATCATCCAAATGCACTCTAGCAAACTTCAGACAGGCCTGGACATGTACTGGCTTAAGCAGGGGGACACGTCTGGCACTACAGGATTTGAGTCCCTGGCGGCGTAGTGTGTTACTGATGGTAGGCTTTGTTACTTCGGTCCCAGCTCTCTGCAGGTCATTCACTAGGTCCCCCCGTGTGGTTCTGGGATTTTTGCTCACCGTTCTTGTGATCATTTTGACCCCACGGGGTGAGATCTTGCGTGGAGCCCCAGATCGAGGGAGATTATCAGTGGTCTTGTATGTCTTCCATTTCCTAATAATTGCTCCCACAGTTGATTTCTTCAAACCAAGCTGCTTACCTATTGCAGATTCAGTCTTCCCAGCCTGGTGCAGGTCTACAATTTTGTTTCTGGTGTCCTTTGACAGCTCTTTGGTCTTGGCCATAGTGGAGTTTGGAGTGTGACTGTTTGAGGTTGTGGACAGGTGTCTTTTATACTGATAACAAGTTCAATCAGATGCCATTAATACAGGTAACGAGTGGAGGACAGATGAGCCCCTTAAAGAAGAAGTTACAGGTCTGTGAGAGCCAGAAATCTTGCTTGTTTGTAGGTGACCAAATACTTATTTTCCAACCTAATTTGAAAATAAATTTCATAAAAAATCCTACAATGTGATTTTCTGGATTTTTTTTCCTCAATTTGTCTGTCATAGTTGACGTGTACCTATGATGTAAATTACAGGCCTCTCTCATCTTTTTAAGTGGGAGAACTTGCACAATTGGTGGCTGAGTAAATACTTTTTTTCCCCACTGTATACACTATCCCCAGTCAGGGGATTTGTCTCTTTAAACAAGGATAGAAAATGAAAAGAGAGCAGGGGTGGGATAGGCTGGGATGACTGAGGTTAGTCTGGGATGACTGATGTTAGTCTGGGATGACTGAGGTCAGTCTGGGATGACTGAGGTTAGTCTGGGATGACTGAGGTCAGTCTGGGATGACTGAGGTCAGTCTGGGATGACTGAGGTTAGGCTGGGATGACAGAGGTCAGTCTGGGATGACAGAGGTTAGGCTGGGATGACTGAGGATAGGCTGGGATGACTGAGAATAGTCTGGGATGACTGAGGTCAGTCTGGGATGACAGACACCTCTCAAGATTGTTTATGTTCTTTCCTTCACCGCCCAGGCGACAGAGAGAACTCACATTCCTGTGAACATTGTTGCAGAGGGCTGGGCAGCAGTTGGCAGTGCAGTTCAGTTCAGTGGAGGCTGCTGAGGGGAGAACGGCTCATAATAATGGCCGGGACGGCGCAAATGGAATGGAATCAATCACCTGGAAACCATGTGTTTGGTGTATTTGATACCATTCCACTGATTCCGTTCCAGTCATTACCACGAGCCCGTCCTCCCTAATTAAGGTGCCACCAACCTCCTGTGGTGGAGTTGTTGAAGCAGCCCCGGCCCTTTCAGGAGGAGGCTTCTACTGTATATTTCCCCCGTCAGAGCTCGGCGGGTAGAAACAGCTGAGAACGCCTGCTCCAGGGAGCTCCACATAGCTCCAGTGAAACGGATCAAAGAGTCAACGGATGGCCAGGCCAGTGTGTGAGAAAACAGAACCCAGCTGGACATGAACAAAGGTCTACAGGACTCAGTGTCTATCCCACAGCCTCCAACTAAAAAGAGACATGTTTATCTACACTGAAAAAATTAACATCAATATTATCACTGACTGCATGTAAGACACTTTTCTCAATATGGTGTAGTGATGGAGAGAATTTGAGAATCCCCCAATATTGTCATTGTATAGTATGGCAAAGTGTAACCGTCTCACCTTTTATATATACTTTCCGAGGCAGTGGAGGCTGCTGAGGGGAGGATGGCTCATAATAATGGCTGGAACGGCGCAAATGGAATGGAATCAAACACCTGGAAACCATGTGTTAGATACCATTCCACCCCATTCCGCTCCAGCCATTACCATGAGCCCGTCCGCCCCATTTAAGGTGCCGTCGACCTCCTGTGTTCCGAGGGTATCTTGAGACTAGAGCTGCACAATTAAAATCGAATTCACATCCGAATCGCACTTTTGACATGTGCAATATCCATGTCGCAAGAGAGCCATGTCACATGCAATATTTTGAAACGCCACTCAGCCGCGTGTAATGTCCGTTTCTATAGTTTACTCGTTTGTTGTCCCTCTACCTCTCTTCTCTAGCGGCTGCTTCCCACACACACCAAGCAGTACAGTTCCTCCCTGCTGTTAGATCCACTACACATTTGCAGGCTATTCTGTTAGGTCAAACGCAGTCAACACATTGTTTCAAAAACAACGATGCTGCTTTCCACTTTGCTTCTTAATATAAAATATCATTCTATTTCTATGATTCCAACAGTTCGGCCAAGTGTTTTCATCTATATCGCAAGTCAAATTGCAAAAGCAATATTTGGTTAAAAAATTAAATAAAGATTGCAATGAAATGTTTTGCCCATTTCGTGCAGCCCTACTTGAGTCATATTACTACATAAAATGAACATAGATAATTCATGTAACTAGGTTCCACAGTACCTTTGTCTTTACTCTTCTCTTTGGCCAGTGAATCCAACTTCCTCCTGAGGGACTTCTTACGCTTTTGACCATCTAAGAAAATAACACAGATTTTACACTTCATAACATTCTACCACATTGTACTACATTCTACCACATTGTACTACATTCTACCACATTGTACTACATTCTACCATACTTGTAACATGTAACTTCATGACTCAATATTGCATTTCCATACACCAATGTTCTCATCAAAATCTGAAAGAGAGGCCTCAAAATATCCTTATAACAAACCCAAGCATAAATCCTGTAATATTTAAAAATTGTGGAATGTGAATCCTAATCGTAGTTTTCAATAGCACCATTAAAGTCATATGTGACTTTCCACACAAAAACATGACTGGCTATACTGTGTCCTGTCTTTCCTAACTCAATCCATATGTAGACAGGGTGGTTTTAAAGTCTGCTACTATTTCAGACGACATTCAATGTGTTTTTCCTACAGTTGACTGTTTACTTTTCACGCTAGTATTTTCTAAAGGTTTCATGCTGGAGTTATTGCGAGGGATTGTTGACGGCAGTGCACGTCTATAGGGCGTCTGTCCCATGTTAGCCTGAGATAGTTAAGCCAGGAGCACATGAGGAAATGTGATCCAAGACAGAGCCTGGCTGACCAGAAACAGACCATGAGGTGAAGACAGACAACCTCACACCACGGCCAAGACAGTTGAAAAAAATACCTCCTCTAGCTACATACCTTTAAGCTACTATCTTCTATACACAGTTAAAAACATGGTGTTACAAATTGCCATCCATGCAAACGCTAAATACACAGAATAACCTAGAAATGATATATTACATTCTGTTTTGGTGTCAATATCTGTTGTGTAACATTCAGACTTGTTGTGACAAGAATGTTTTCCAAGTAGCTTTTGCTCGTTGAATGGGAGGTTGAATGGAGAGAGAGAGATCAGGAGATAGTGGATGTTAGATGGCCTCCAAGCCTGAATGGTAGAGTACCTTTGGGGATCGTGATCTGGCAGCCCAGGTTGTAGTCCTGCAGCAGCCTGCTGAAGGCCACTTCCTGCAGGCGGACTCTCTCCAGCTCTGAGAGGCTCTGGAGGGGCACCGGCTTCAGGCGAACGCTCCGTCCTGACATGCTGTTCCACATGAAGTCACCCTGTGGTGAGGAGACAGGACACACACGTCAGAGAGGGACGCACACGCGTGTGCACACACACACCAGAGACATCTATCAGTACTGTTACCGTGGAGGTAACTGACACGTCATGCATTTGTAAAGCAACAGATATTTCTGCCTGACCTTGACAGCTGAAAGACTCAAGCATCTGACATTTCCCATAACTAAAAAGAGGAGATCCTCCAGAGAGTCAAGAAGACAGTTGGTTTGTGTGTTCAGCTCTTGCTCAGTTTCTATTGTACATCAAATCATTTAAGTAACGTTCAAATTCTGCTTTCTTTCTTTCAACTCTGGAAGCGTAAGTATGAACCAGAGTTCATGTGAATGATCTACTCTCCCTGACGACGGATGGCTCTTTTTCCCCCAACAAGGGGAATTTCTGGAAGAGAATGTAAAAACGGAGTCATGCCAACCACTTTAAAAGCAGATGAGTTAGATGATGTGATGTTCTCAATCCAAGGAAACAGACTCATGTACTTTCCACAAACTGAACAAACCTTTACAAGTGAGACACAAGAGCAAAACTAGAATTGTAAACACATTATCTCCAGACCTCCTAAATGAGAAGCTTGTAGGTAGCAACATAGGCATAACAGTGTAAAGAGACTATATTTCATTAGCCCGTTCTGTTAAGTGGAACCCATTTACTCAGCCATTACCAAATACGTCGCTCTCCCGTCATCTCCCCTGGTCTATAATGAGGTCACAGTCCATGGTTTCAACAGGCCATCAATAAAAAAGCCCAGTTGTTGTAATTTCCTCTCTGACTGGAGAAGTTGGTGAATAACACAGCTGGATGGGATGAAACTCCCGCTGTGAGAGAGCTTGTCAGAGCACCATCCATGCTTAGGAATGTCAAGACATTGAGCCCTGTGTTTTCAAGCCTCATTACTGCTTCTCCCAGCTCTGGTTGGAGAGGTAGACTCTCTCTGTCTAATGTTGAGGCGGTGTTCAGTGTAAATACATTCATTTTCATCCGTACAGTATCCAAGAGCTATGACATGGTGAGAGTTCAATACTCATCCGGTCACCATCATGCATCGAAGTCATTCCACACAATACAATCTGACTAACATTTCAGGCTTGAGGAAACAAACAGACTTACTTTTATACTGCAAATCCAAGACTAACAAAATGAACAGTTAATGATCTTTTATGAAAAAGGACTCTGCTGAGTTAGTTAATAGGGATGAACCCCTGTTGTGATCTACCAGTCTAACTCAAGAGCTGAAAACCCTGACCTCGGAGCATCTCTTTAATAAATCCAGCCATCAGATTAGACTTCCTTTGATCTCATATCAGCCATGCGCCAAATAGGCTTACAGGCTCATTATCAGGCTTTCGTCTTCACTACTGTACGGTAGTTTACTCTCTCTTGTTGGGGAAAGAAATATCTTTACTTCACCAAGTCTAACTACTTAACTGAGTTAATATCAAGCATCTGACACTGAACCACGGACCGACATGTAAATCGAACAGCTCTGCTCAGGCGTGCTCCACCTCTATGGCATTGTCTAACAATCAGAGGTTCTGGGGAGAGTACAAATATAACAGAACAGAATAACAAACTAATTAATTCTGGCGAGGAAATCAACAAACAGGCATAGTTGGGAGATCTAACAGGAGATCTAAGGGAGATCTATCTATTCTACCAGTATCAACCAGGTTCTCAGGCTTGATGGCCTCCTGACATGACAGTGTTTACCTCAGTGAGCTCATTGTGAGGGTTCCTCCCTTTGTAGGGTGTTGAATCGTCGAGTCATTTTCCCCAGTCCTACCCTCCGTCGGCTACACAGGTGACTGATCCTGTGTAGCCCTTCCTTCCCTCATCAACAAACAAAAGATTGGCTCTGTTGCGATTCTCTCCATGTTCTGTCCACTGGAGCCAAGATCTCTGCTGTAGCCAGAGAATGTGTTTAATCTCCCTTCTCTGTATGCCAACCAATAAAGGCCAAACACACACACACACACACACACACACACACACACGTTTGGTGTTAATTATCCACAGCTGGGAGGCATCAACACCCAGTAATACATCACAGCACGTTATCACACTTTTACACAACGTGGGATTGATCACAGAGTAAGTGGGACTATAAGTCTGACCAAACAATCCGGTTCATCAGCATTACATCTCATCGTGTGAATACACGTGATATATTGTGAAGATTGTCGAACAGTTTTGCTGATATGAGAAAGTGGTGGAGAAAGGAAAAATATATATATTCTATTCTGTTCAGTTCTATTATTTTAACAAACGAAACTCAGATGTAAAGCTCAAAGTTAATAAAGCTACTGCCTCATACTGCTTATAGGTCCTTACTAGTTCATGTGATAATGGTTGAGGCTTGAGCAGGTGTCAGTCCAGGGTTGGGATACAGTGAGAAAGTGAAATAAAGCAGTCTGTAAAACCCTTTCCAAGATTCCAGCGGTTCTTTTTTAATATGTCTGGTAGGTAACTTGGCAACCACTTAATGGTTTACTTTCTCCCTTGCAGTTTTACATATATTTACATAACAGGCTGTAGCATCTGTCCACAACATGGCAGTGTATTTGTTTACAACGCACTCTGATTAAGATGAAAAGAGAAGTGAGCTGTGGAGGCTGCTGAGGGGAGGACGGCTCATAATAATGGCTGGAACGGAGCAAATGGAATGGCACCAAACACCTGGAAACCATGTGTTTGATGTATTTGATACCATTCCACTGATTCCGCCGCAGGCTTTACCATGATGCCCGTCCTCCCCGATAAAGGTGCCACCAACCTCCTGTGATGGCAAGACATCACCCCTAACTGAAACCACACGTTTGACCCCATTCCATTTATTCCATTCCAGCCATTACAATGAGCCCGTCCTCCTACAGCTCCTCCCACCAGCCTCTTCTGCAGTACATGCCATGGTCCCACCGTCTATAAGGGCACGGTCCTCACATTGAAAACTACAGACATGTGGACTAGACTCTCACTTTATCCCACCACTCATAAAGCATCTCTCGTTGAAATGTTTAGCGTCTTGGATAAGGTTGCAAAGGCAGGGTGTATTACTGGAAACTTTCTAAGATTACCAGTAAACTACCAAAATGTTAGTATCTTTCAAGTATTTTATGTAATCTATCACAAGACATCTAGTGGCCCTTTTGGGTACTTCAGATTACGACAGGTGTCTCTAATTATCTCTGGCCCTCTCTCTGGCCTTATCACATGTAACATATATGAAATCATTAAATAAGATGATAAATTAAATAATATGACAAAGGTGTAAAATATTCTCCTAAATATAAACCATCCACTAAGTGAATACCATTGGTATTTAACATGAGGGTTTCAGCAATACATATCCTATATATATATATACATATATATATATATATATATATATATATATATATATATATATATATATATATATATATATATACACTACCGGTCAAAGGTTTTAGAACACCCTACTCATTCAAGGGTTTTTCTTTATTTTTACTATTTTCTACATTGTAGAATAATAGTGAAGACATCAAAACTATGAAATACCACATATGGAATCATGTAGTAACCAAAAAAGTGTTAAACAAATCAAAATATATGTTTTATTCAAATAGCCACCCTTTGCCTTGATGACAGCTTTGCACACTCTTGGCATTCTCTCAACCAGCTTCACCTGGAATGCTTTTCCAACAGTCTTGAAGGAGTTCCCACATTTGCTGAGCACTTGTTGGCTGCTTTTCCTTCACTCTGCCGTCCGACTCAACCCAAACCATCTCAACTTGGTTGAGGTTGGGGGATTGTGGAGGCCAGGTAATCTGATACAGCACTCCATCACTCTCCTTCTTGGTAAAATAGCCCTTACACAGCCTAGAGGTGTGTTGGGTCAATGTCCGGTTGAAAAACAAATGATAGTCCCACTAAGCCCAAACCAGATGGGATGGCGTATTGCTGCAGAATGCTGTGGTAGCCATGCTGGTTAAGTGTGAATTGTATTCTAAATAAATCACAGACAGTGTCACCAGTAAAGCACCCCCACACCGTAACACCTCCTCCTCCATGCTTTACGGTGGGAAATATACATGCGGAGATCATCCGTTCAGTCACACAGCGTCTCACAAAGACACGGCGGTTGGAACCAAAAATCTCCAATTTGGACTCCAGACCAAAGAACAAATTTCCACCGGTCTAATGTCCATTGCTTGTGTTTATTGGCCCAAGCAAGTCTCTTCTTATTATTGGTGTCCTTTAGTAGTGGTTTCTTTGCAGCAATTCGACCATGAAGGCCTGATTCACACAGTCTCCTCTGAACAGCTGATGTTGAGATGTGTCTGTTACTTGAACTCTGTGAAGCATTTATTTGGGCTGCAATTTCTGAGGCTGGTAAGTCTAATGAACTTATCCCCTGCAGCAGAGGTAACTCTGGGTCTTCCATTCCTGTGGCGGTCCTCATGAGAGCCAGTTTCATCATAGCGCTTGATGGTTTTTGCAACTGTACTTGAAGAAACTTTCAAAGTTCTTCACATTTTCCGTATTGCCTGACCTTCATGTCTTAAAGTAATGATGGACTGTCATTTCTCTTTGCTTATTTGAGCTGTTTTTGCCATAATATGGACTTGGTCTTTTACCAAATAGGGCTATCTTCTGTATACCCCCCTACCTTTTCACAACACAACTGATTGGATCAAACTAATTAAGAAGGAAAGAAATTCCACAAATTAACATTTAAGAAGGCACACCTGTTAATTGAAATACCTTCCAGGTGACTATCTCATGAAGCTGGTTGAGAGAATGCCAAGAGTGTGCAAAGCTTTCATCAAGGAAAAGAGGGTGGTTACTTAAAGAATCTCAAATATAAAATATATTTTGATTTATTTAACACTTTTTTGGTTACTACATGATTCCATATGTGTTATTTCATAGTTTTGATGTCTTCACTATTATTCTACATTGTAGAAAATAGTACAAATAAAGAAAAACCCTTGAATGAGTAGGTGTTCTAAAACGTTTGACCGGTAGTGTATATATATATGCCTTTGGAAAGTATTCAGACCCATTGACTTTTTCCACATTTTGTTTACGTTAGAGACCTTTTTTTTTTATCCTCATCAATCTACACACAATACCCCATAATGACAAAGCGAAAACAGGTTTTTAGACATTTTTGCTAATGTATTTAAAAATAAAAAACTGAAATAAATTATTTACATAAGTATTCAAACCCTTTCCTATGAGATTTGAAATTGAGCTCAGGTGCATCCTGTTTCCATTTATCATCCTTGAGATGTTTCTACAACTTGATTGGAGTCCACCTGTGGTAAATTCAATTGATTGGACATGATTTGGAAAGGCACACATCTGTCTATAGAAGGTCCCACAGTTGACAGTGCATGTCAGAGCAAAAACCAAGCCATGAGGTCGAAGGAATTGTCTGTAGAGCTCCGAGGCAGGATTGTGTCGAGGCACAGATCTGTGGAAGGGTACCAAAAATATTCTGCAGCATTGAAGGTCCCCAAGAACACAGTAGCCTCCATCATTCTTAAATGGAAGAAGTTTGGAACCACCAAGACTCTTCCTAGAGCTGGCCGCCCGGCCAAACTGAGCAATCAGGGGAAAAGGGCCTTGGTCAGGGAGGTGACCAAGAACCCGATAGTCACTCTGACAGAGTTCTAGAGTTCCTCTGTAAAGATGGGAGAACCTTCCAGAAGGACAACCATATCTGCAGCACTCCACCAATCAGGCCATTATGGTAGAGCGGCCAGACGGAAGCCACTCCTCAGTAAAAGGTACATGACAGCCCACTTAAAGACTCTCAGACCATGAGAAACAAGATTCTCTTGTCTGATAAAAACCAAGATTAAACTCTTTGGCCTGAATGCCAAGCGTCACGTCTGGAGGAAACCTGGCACCATCCCTACGGTGAAGCATGGTGGTGTTAGCATCATGCTGTGGGGGTGTTTTTCAACGGCAGGGACTGGGAGACTAGAAAGGATAGAGGCAAAGATGAATGGAGCAAAGTACAGAGAGATCCTTGATGAAAAACTGCTCCGGAGTGCTCAGGACCTCAGACTGGGGCGAAGGTTCACCTTCCAACAGGACAACGACCCTAAGCACACAGCCAAGACAACACTGGAGTGGCTTCAGGTTAAGTCTCTGAATGTCCTTGAGTGGCCCAGCCAGAGCCCGGACTTGAATCCGATAGAACATCTCTGGAGAGACCTGAAAATAGCTGTGCAGCAACGCTCCCCATCCATCCTGACAGAGCTTGTGAGAATCTGCAGAGAAGAATGGGAGAAACTCCCCAAATACAGGTGTGCCAAGCTTGTAGCGTCATAACCAAGAAGACTTGAGGCTTGTGTGTAGATTGATGAGCAAAACAATCAATTTAATCGATTATAGAATAAGCCAAAATGTGGAAAAAGTCAAGGGGTCTGAATACTTTTCTGAAGGCACTGTGTATGTATATATATATATGACAAATTACAACAAGATTTGAGTTCCATGATTATCTGAAGGATTATGATTGTATGTATATAAACAAATGAAGAGCATTCTATGAAATGGATCAGTCACTTTCCCCTGAACAGCTTGAAAGACATCCTGTCAACGTGTCACTCTTACTGTGCATTCTTGCACACTAAAGGGAGCGCCTGGTGTTGAACAGATTGAATATGTCATTAAATGGGGATGTTGTGAGTCATACTAACCCTGAGTTCAATCTCTTCTTAAACATGGTATGTGAAATCATTATGCAATTCAGTGGTGTTTTCTGTCCAATTACAGGTGAGATGTGCTGCCCTGCCACTAAACCACACCCCAGATGATGGAAGAACCTTACTGTATATAGCCATATGTTATGAGACACATAGCCATAAACCTCTACATGTGTGAGTATGGATGCTAACTCCTGTTACTAACAAGTTCTAATAGTTAATAACATAAAATAGAATGGATTTCCATTCAGTTCGATTAAATAATACTTAAATTCATCATATACTGTAAAACTGTAACAGCTATATATGAAAGAGTTGCCACAATGTGCATTTCCTTCAGTGGTCCATTCCCGATAAAAAAGAGAAAGCGTTAGCCATCATTCAGTGAAGTACAATGAGCGGAAATGAGCAAGGTAAACACAAAGTGAGACTGACAGCCCAGAATAAAGCCATTAACCACACTTGAGCTAGGTATGTTGGGTGATGAATATTCCTCCCTATTCAGGAAGCCGTTGAATGGAACATTTCATGACTCCTGTTCTCCACAAAGGCTTCACACTGCGGCTTGACTAATTTTAGAAACAAATACCGAAAACAAAGAAAAGCTGATGCTCATTTTCCAAAACCTCTACACAGCATTAATATTATTAACTAACAAAGTGGAAGAGAGACAGCCATCTTCCCAATCTGAACTAAACAGGATTCTGCATGCTGATCAATATTTATGACTGCACCTATTTTCGGGTTGGTTGACTATTCATTGACTTTCTGATATCTGGGAAGTTCACAACCTGCACACACAGCAACCATTTATCTAGAATGAGGGGAAACACATGATTGGTTATTTCCAATCTGATGAGGAGGTAATAAACTCCGCAAAAAAAGAAACGTCCCTTTTTCAGGACCCTGTCTTTCAAAGATCATTTGTAAAAATCAAAATAACTTCACAGATCTTCATTGTAAAGGGTTTAAACACTGTTTCCCATGCTTGTTCAATGAACCATAAACAATTAATGAACATGCACCTGTGGAACAGTCGTTAAGACACTAACAGACGGTAGGCAATTAACTCCCGAGTGGCGCAGTGGTCTAAGGCACTGCATCGCAGTGCTAGCTGTGCCACTAGAGATCCTGGTTTGAATCCAGGCTCTGTCGTAGCAGGCCACGACCGGGAGACCCGGCACAATTGGCCCAGGGTAGGGGAGGCAGTTGGTAGAGCATGGCGTTTGCAACGCCAGGGTTGTGGGTTCGATTACCACAGGGGGCCAGTATGAAAATATATATATATATGTAAGCACTCACTAACTGTAAGTCGCTTTGGATAAGAGCGTCTGCTAAATGACGTAAATGTAATTAAGGTCACAGTTATGAAAACTTAGAACACTAAAGAGGCCTTTCTACTGACTCTGAAAAACACCAAAAGAAAGATGACCAGGGTCCCTGCTCATCTATGTGAATGTGCCTTAGGCATGCTGCAAGGAGGCATGAGGACTGCAGATGTGGCCAGGGCAATAAATTGCAATGTCCGTACTGTGAGACGCCTAAGACAGTGCTACAGGGAGACAGGACGGACAGCTGATCGTCCTCACAGTGGCAGACCACGTTTAACAACACCTGCACAGGATCGGTACATCTGAACATCACACCTGCAGGACAGGTACAGGATGGCAACAACAACTGCCGAGTTACACCAGGAACGCACAATCCCTCCATCAGTGCTCAGACTGTCCGCAATAGGCTGAGAGAGGCTGGACTGAGGGCTTGTAGGCCTGTTTTAAGGCAGGTCCTCACCAGACATCACTGGCAACAACGTCTCCTATGGGCACAAACCCACCGTCGCTGGACCAGACAGGACTGCCAAAAAGTGTTCTTCACTGACGAGTCGTGGTTTTGTCTCACCAGGGGTGATGGTCGGATTCGCGTTTCTCGTCGAAGGAATGAGCGTTACACCGAGGCCTGTACTCTGGAGCGGGATCGATTTGGAGGTGGAGGGTCCGTCATGGTCTGGGGCAGTGTGTCACAGCATCATCGGACTGAGCTTCTTGTCATTTCAGGCAATCTCAACGCTGTACATTACAGGGAAGACATCCTCCCTCATGTGGTACCCTTCCTGCAGGCTCATCCTGACATGACCCTCCAGCATGACAATGCCACAAGCCATACTGCTCGTTCTGTGCGTGATTTCCTGCAAGACAGGAATGTCAGTGTTCTGCCATGGCCAGTGAAGAGCCTGGATCTCAATCCCATTGAGCACGTCTGGGACTTGTTGGATCGGAGGGTGAGGGCTAGGGCCATTCCCCCCAGAAATATCCAGGAACTTGCAGGTGCCTTGGTGGAAGAGTGGGGTAACATCTCACAGCAAGAACTGGCAAATCTGGTGCAGTCAATGAGGAGGAGATGCACTGCAGTACTTAATGCAGCTGGTGGCCACACCAGATACTGACTGTTACTTTTGATTTTGACCCCCCCTTTGTTCAGGGACACATTATTCAATTTCTGTTAGTCACATGTCTGTGGAACTTGTTCAGTTTATTTCTCAGTTGTTGAATCTTGTTATGTTCATACAAATATTTACACATGTTAGGTTTGCTGAAAATAAACGCAGTTGACAGTGAGAGGACGTTTTTTTGTTGTTGCTGAGATTAGATAGGGGATTGTAATGACAGCTTCAGTGGCACCAAAGAAACTAAAGGAACCTAGATTCTTGGCATATTCAAAACAATACCTTAAGATTTTCTATAGACATTGTGAACAAAAACAGCCTTCAATGACTACTATTATTGAGCTTTTAGTTTAATAGTGTTTTTGGAATAATGGTGTAAAACAGTTTATCATATTTTATACAGTACTTCCTGCTTTTAAGCAAAAGGTCACATATTATTCAGCTACAATAAGGTGTCATACTTCATACTACATGAAGCACAAGGTCACATACACATATTTTCAAGGATAATTAATTAAAACCTTTACTTAAAAGTGACCATGGAAGTTGCAGTATGATTTCCATCCTACATTTTCTACATGAATCACTGAGGTCCAATAAGATCAATAAAAAATATGGCTTTAGCTCAATGGGCTAACAGGGTCTTCTTACATTTATTTGTTTAGTTTTTACATTTCAGTCATTTAGCAGACACTCTTATCCAGATAAGGGTTAAGTTCCTTGCTCAAGGGCAAATTGACAGATTTTCACCTAGTTGGCTCAGGGATTCGACCCAGCAACCTTTCGGTTAACTGCTAGGCTACCTACTGCCAAAATCATATTGATAACCCCGGTTCGAAACATCTGCAAACAGAAAAAATCATAAGCCTGGCACAGCTCCAGCCTTCACTGAAAGCACTATAACAGGGATCATCAACTACACTGAAAAAATATATAAACAAAACATTTGTTGGTCCCATGTTTCATGAGCTGAAATAAAAGATCCCAGAAATGTTAAATACGCACAAAAAGCTTATTTCTCTCAAATTTGGCGCACACATTTGTTTACATCTCTGTTAGTGAGCTTTTCTCCTTTGCCATGATAATACATCCACCTGACAGGTCTGGCATATCAAGAAGCTGATTAAACAGCATGATCCTTACACAGGTGCACTTTGTGCTGGGGACAGTAAAAGGCCACTCTTAAATGTGCAGTTTTGTTACTCAACACAATGGCACAGATGTCTCAAGTTTTGAGGGAGCGTGCAATTGGCATGCTGACTGCAGGAATGTCCACCAGAGCTGTTGCCAGAGAATGTATTGTTCATTTCTCTACCATAAGCCGCCTCCAACATCGTTTTAGAGAATTTGGCAGTACGTCCAACCGGCCTTACAACCGCAGACCACGTTTAGCCACGCCAGCCCAGGACCGCCACATCAGGCTTCGTCACCTGCGGGATCGTCTGAGACTAGCCACCCGGACAGCTGATTAAACTGAGGAGTATTTATGTTCATTCTGATTTGCTGGGTCTGGCTCCCCAGTGGGTGGGCCTGGCTCCCAAGTGGGTGGGCCTGGCTCTCAAGTGGGCCCACCCATGGCTGGACCCCTGCCCAGTCCCACCCATGGCTGGACCCCTGCCCAGTCATGTGAAATCCATAGATTAGTCCCTAATGAATTTATTTCAATTGACTGATATCCTTATGAGCTGTAACTCAGTAAAATCGCTGAAATTGTTGCATGTTGCGTTTATATTTTTGCTCAATATAGATTCAGCCGCGGGCCGATTCTTTTCTTGAGCAGGTGGTCAGGGGGCCGGAACATAATTACAAATAATTTGTAGATAGAAAATTGACTGCAAGAAGCCCAAACAGATATAATATTTCACTACAACATAATAATTTCAAACCTTGCTTACATTTGTATACGATCACATATACACTATATACACAAAAGTATGTGGACACCCCTTCAAATTAGTGGATTCGGCTATTTCAGACAGTTGTATAAAATCAAGCACACCGCCATGCAATCTCCATAGACAAACATTGGCAGTACAATGGCCTTACCGAAGAGCTCAGTGACTTTCAATGTGGCACCGTCACAGGATGTCACCTTTCCAACAAATCATTTTGAGAAATGTCTGCCCTGCAAGAGCTGCCCCGGTCAACTGTAATTGATGTTATTGTGAAGTGGAAAGGTCTAGCAGCAACAACGGTTCAGATGTGAAGTGGTAGGCTACACAAGCTCAGAGAACGGGACCGCCGAGTGCTGAAGCGTGTAAAAATTGTTTGTCCTCGGTTGCAATACTCACTACCAAGTTCCAAACTGCCTCTGGGAGCAACGTCAGCAAAATAACTGTTCATCGGGAGCGTCATGAAATGGGTTTCCATGGCCACAAGCCTATGATCACCATGTGCAATGCCAAGTGTCGGCTGGAGTGATGAGAAGCTCACCGCCATTGGACTCTGGAGCAGTGGAAATGCGTTCTTTGGAGTGATGAATCACGCTTCATCATCTGGCAGTCCGACAGACAAATCTGGGTTTGGCGGATGACAGGAGAACGCTACCTGCCCCAATGCATAGTGCCAACTGTAAAGTTTGGTGGTGGAGGAATAATGGTCTGGGACTGTTTTTCATGGTTAGGGCTAGGCCCCTTAGTTCCAGTGAAGGGAGATCTTAACACTACAGCATACAGTGAATCACATTCTAGACGATTCTGTGCTTCCAACAGTTTGGGGAAGGCCCTTTCCTGTTTCAGCATGACAATGCCCCCGTGCACAAAGCGAGGTCCATACAGAAATGGTTTGTCGAGATTGGTGTGGAAGAACTTCAACCCCTCAACCCCATCGAACACCTTTGGGATGAATTGGAACACCGACTGCGAGCCAGGCCTCATCGCCCAACATCAGTGCCCGACCTCACTAATGCTCTTGTGGCTGAATGGAAGCAAGTCCCCGCAGCTATGTTCCAACATTTAGTGGACATCCTTCCCAGAAGAGTGGAGGCTGTTATAGCAGCAAAGGGGGGACCAACTCCATATTAATGCCCATGATTTTGGAATGAGATGTTCGACGAGCATGAATTCACATACTTTTGGTCATGTAGTATATCTCTCTGTTATGCGTGGGATTACTTTGGAACAGATTTTTTAAAAAGCTGATTGGAGCTGATTTGCTGGTCTTTTTACAGACTTTTAAGCCCAACAATTTAAAAAATGTAAATAAAAAAACTATTTTTTTTTTGCTCAAACTTTAGGGGCCAAATAAAATCACCCAGATGGGGAACCCTATAGTATGCACTATAGTATAGTTACACTGTTTTAGGGGGTGGCGACACAATCTCAGATATGTTATGTTTTCTAAAACCAAAACAAACCATGTCACTTTACTAGAGTTTCAACTCAGTTTAGCCTTCAGACATACAGACGGCTGATTGTGTCTGAACTGATCAGAAATGCTTTCAGTAGAAAAGCAAGTTCTTTTGTCAGGATGTTGTCAGTCAGTCAGTCCCATAATATTTACTAAGAATTCATGCTGGTTCTGACGTCATCATAACCTACAAAGTCTGCTGCAGTCCTTGCACCACTCAGATTCCTAAGTAACACATGATGTAACATGAGACTCACTGGTAGAACTCTCTCTCATTTCTATGTCAGTGCATTACGTCCTAACATCATGTTGAAAAGCGAGAAATTGGCTGTGTTTAAGCAATTACGCTCTTAATAGAGTTGCTTAACAAGTTTCGCAATGAATAATTGATGCAAGGTGGGTTAAGCATTAATACCAACAGTGGAGATGTAGAACATGTTTTTTAGCAGCAATATAGACGGTGAGGAGGACTCACTCTCCCATTGTGGAATTAAGTTTCCTAGTTATAGCCTCAGGTAGGTTCCTTATAGGCCAGGTATGGGGTCAAAGTACCTAGACCACTGCCTCTAGACTATCACACCCTGACGCCCAGCCCAATTACAGTTTGTGAAGCTATCCACTGGGCACACACTGGTTGAATCAATGTTGTTTCAACGTCATTTCAATGAAATTAAAGTTGAACCAACGTGGAATAGACGTTGAATTGACGTCTGTGCCCAGTGGGTATACTTATTGGTTCTTAGCCAAATACACAGCTGATATCACATGATAAGAGGTCATGCATGATTTCTTACTAAAATTCCCACATGACCTGACTCAGAGATCCACCTAATGAATCTGGGGAACTCCTCATGGACAAGACAAAGGGAAGCCAACTGCTCTTAAGTGTTCCTATTGGCTACCTTGTTACTGGTAATGACTGGGCAGCAATGTACTGCGTATGAGATGTCACTTTAAAGCCACGTGGTAAAATGTGCATGTAGCCTTCCAATAAAGAGTGGAACCCCAACAAAAACAAACAAACGATGGAGCAATGGCGTCCCATTATATTTTAATTGTGATGATTTGTAGGACATAACACTCAGGGAATGATATTCCATGTGAGCAGCATAACTTTTTAACACGATTTGAAGTTATAGGTAATATATAAAAGTCTCAAGAGAAGCAGACATGAGGCATTTCCATTTGCAACTAATATCTCCAAAATTATGTTATAATTAACACCTTTTCAAATCACAACTTTCAATACAAAATTTAGGAAATTCTCAATATCTTGGTTAAACATATCGTACACAAATGTTGGTTAGTTCAAAAAGGCTACAAAGCTGACGCAGTACATGAGAAGACTGGCCAATACTTACAAGGTAAGAGATGCGCCTGTCGAAGGGTAGGAGGTCCCCCATGATCCGAATACATAGACAGCCCGCTACACAGAGCGTTTGTGGAGTTACATTTCAGCAAACTTGATGTAAATGAAAATGTAAGTCGCTACGTCAATGACTACATTGTCGTTTAACTCTCATTTGCGCGTCCCCTTGTCTAGTGAAGCGGAGGTCCTTGAAGAACGAAGCGCAAGGAAGCCTGACGATAAACGGGGCGAGGCAGTTAGAGGCGCCTTCTCTCCATCAGAAAGTTCAACAACTCAGTTATTAATGACGTGATAACAAACACTGTCAAAATCCTCAGAAAGATTCAGCCATTTGTGTTTTAACGCATATTAAACATGCCATCCTTCACACAATACGTATCTTCCAATCCAAAATGTATCGACTTGTCCTACTGTGATCAAATACATTATAGCCTAGAGGCCATACCTCAACATCATTCAATACCGTATTTACATTCCACTATCAATGTGTTGTCCGTGAAATCTATTTGCGTGAATAATTTGCAATGCAGAACATTTGGCAGAGGAGGTTTTGATGGGAGGAATGTGACTGTGTTGTAATAGAACGTTGTTTATACAGTATGACGTGTCCAGACCAGATGTGAGGCATCAGGACATGCAGATAAATGTAAAGACCTTTGTGATTTAGTAAGTATATGGGTAGCCTACTTAAATGTATGGGTAGCCTACTTAAATGATATGCAATGCCAAAGAAAATGCTATGACCCTACTAAACATATATTACTCTGTGCAATATGTTGTGGTTGTATTAACCTGCTTCCCACACTTGAAAATGTAGTCAATCTAAACGAGATCCAGTCTACGTGATTACAACATGGTCCTATTAGCCTGCTATCCACAAAGTGTAAACAAAGGTCTCTATTGCCCGAGAATGTGGATTGACTCTCCCTTATGGAGAAGAGAAATGGACATGTTTGTTATTACTGTGACATGCTGACATCTTCAGCAGCTTTTATCATCTAAACAGGAACAACTCATGTTGGAACAAAACAAACAAACTGCAGGTAGAGGCTTAAAAAACTTTGACCATTCTGTTTTTGCACAACAAATCTAAATTATAACCCTAAACTTTCGACCGCATTCTTGGGATTAGCCTGAAGATCGAGTTTCAAGACACGAGGACACAGTACTTCTACAAGGATAATCAAAACTTGAAGTGTTTTTCATTGAATATCAGCTTGTTTGACTCTGGTTGTATTTTACATTGTTTTTATATAACATATATTATCATATTTATAAATTGGGACATTATTATGATGCAAAGACACAATGTTTTATCTCATTAGAATTAACCGTTTTTCAAGCCAATACTTTTTTTGGGGGCTCAGGGGTTCAAAATAATTTGAAATAAATGTATAATCTGACAAGGAACATAGTTGTTTAAAGCCTATACATTTGGAAAATTTGACTTTTAATTAGACTTTTAATCAGACTCATGGGATAGCTTTCCTCTGCAAGATAATGGCTCAGTAAAGTTTGATCCAAAATATATCTGATGAAATGGGGTTACAGTTTTAATAAACTCTTGAGATTGGCATTGCGATCCTCTATTTTGTCAGTGTAGTGTGGAATAAAGGAGGCTGCGGAGGAGAGGACGGCTCATAATAATGGCTGGAACGGAGTGAATGGAATGGCATCAAACACCTGGAAACCATGTGATTGATGTTGTTGATACCTTTACACCAATTCCGCTCCAGCCATTAACAGGAGCCTGTCCTCGCCATTTAAGGTGCCACCAATCTCCTGTGGTTTGGAAGAATACCAAGATGCTTAGCCCATCAGAAACAGCCCTGAAATACGTAACACCGATCCAAATTGCAAAGCCTAACTAATTTGATCGTTTGAAACCATCCAAACAGCGGGATCTTCGTCTTGACTAATTTCTTATGTCATTCTCGTTGGCAACAAAAGTTTAAAAAGTGTACAGAATGCGGTCGGACCGTCAAATAATTGGCATATATATTACTCTTACAGAATTTCCACGTGGGCGAGGATATTGGACATTTAATCAAAGCCTTTTGGATGACATCTTGTTGTTAACCAGGAGAGAATAATTTATAACTGACTTTTTCTGACATAATACACACTATCGGTCAAAAGTTTGGACACACCTACTCATTCAAGGGTTTTTCTTTATTTTTTACTATTTTCTACATTGTTGAATAATAGTGAAGACATCAAAACTATGAAATAACACATATGGAATCATGTAGTAACCAAAAAAGTGTTAAACAAATCAAAATATATTTTAGATTCTTCAAAGTAGCCACCCTTTGCCTTGATGACAGCTTTGCACACTCTTGGCAGTGTCATAGTTTTGATGTCTTCACTATTATTCTACAATGTAGAAAATAGTAAAAAATAAAGAACAACCCTGGAATGAGTAGGTGTGTCCAAACTTTTGACTGGGACTGTATATATTTACAATATATATATATATGGGGGATTGGAAATTATGCTGACAATTACATTGATGGAAGCCACAGTCTATTTGCAATATTAAAGCTGATCTAACCCCTAAATAAATAAAAATACAAAATGTAAACACCTGGATCTTGCCAAAAGCTGCGACAACTCAAATACAGTTTGCTCCTTCTTCCAGTTGACTAAACACATTTTGATTAATTAATGACATAGTATTCATTCTTACGGTTTTAGCAGGAACTGGTTACGTCTGTTTTTCTACATCAAACCTCAAACTGCCTTATTACCTTATTATCTCCAGTTTTGGTTTTAGCTATTGGTATAATGATATGAGTATAATGATATGAGTATAATGATATGAGTATAATGATATTAGTATACTGAATACAACAGGTTGTATTCGGCGCATGTGACAAATAACATTTCATTTGATTTGATATGAATATAATGATATGAGTATACTGATATGAGTATCATGATATGAGTATACTGATATGAGTATCATGATATTAGCACAATGTTGTACGACACAATAAGAAATTATTTACGAAACACCCTCATATTTCAAACAATTAGCAGTACTTATTCAAGCCTAGATTTGATCTTGACTATTTGTATTTTGCATAGTCGTGGACTGTGAGAGCTAAGCAGGATTTTTGTTTATGAAAGATAGTCTCCAGCCCCCTGCTCCTTCACCAAGCCCTCTAGTCTCCTCTCCTCTCTCTAGAGCTCTTAGGAATGCAGACGGCATTCCGGCCAAACACTGGGAGATAGCTACCCACACTGCAGTCCTCCAGACCCAGACCCACACCTCTCTCTCTCCCAGTCAGCATCATATCACCCTATCCTGACTGCTCTCTCTGGAGGAGTAGGAGACAATAAGGAGTCTGCCATTCAAAGTATTTTTAATGTTACTTTAGTACTTTTGTGTGTAAAGCATGGAGAGTCAGTCTCAACAGCATAGGGATATCAGTGTAAAGGTAGATATGTGAAATGTACAGATTTCCACTCCAGCTGGTAGTCTAAAATCAGTAGACCTGCATTTCTTTAATAATGATGGACATGCAAAGTAGGCCATCTTACAGTAGTGATGTATGGCTGATACTGTCTGTGGGTTAAGTATGCCCCTGACTCCCAGCACACCAGATAAAGTGCTTTGGACCAAAGGTCAGAAAGAAGAGTCAGTCTGCTATTATTCCTTCCAGCTGCCAGCAAGCAGGAGATGTAGCGCCATCCAAACAGGAAACTGGAGATGTAGCACCATTCAAACAGGAAGCTGGAGATGTAGCACCATTCAAACAGGAAGCAGGAGATGTAGCACCAGTCAAACAGGAAGCTGGAGATGTAGCACCATCCAAACAGGAAGCTGGAGATGTAGCACCAGCCAAACAGGAAGCTGGAGATGTAGCACCAGCCAAACAGGAAGTTGGAGATGTAGCACCATCCAAACAGGAAGCTGGAGATGTAGCACCATTCAAACAGGAAGCAGGAGATGTAGCACCAGTCAAACACGAAGCTGGAGATGTAGCACCAGTCAAACAGGAAGCTGGAGATGTAGCACCATTCAAACAGGAAGCAGGAGATGTAGCACCAGTCAAACAGGAAGCTGGAGATGTAGCACCATCCAAACAGGAAGCTGGAGATGTAGCACTATCCAAACAGGAAGTTGGAGATGTAGCACCATCCAAACAGGAAGCTGGAGATGTAGCACCATCCAAACAGGAAGCTGGAGATGTAGCACTATCCAAACAGGAAGTTGGAGATGTAGCACCAGTCAAACAGGAAGCTGGAGATGTAGCACCATTCAAACAGGAAGCAGGAGATGTAGCACCATTCAAATAGGAAGCTGGAGATGTAGCACCATCCAAACAGGAAGCTGGAGATGTAGCACCAGTCAAACAGGATGGTGGAGATATAGCACCATTCAAACAGGAAGCAGGAGATGTAGCACCAGTCAAACAGGAAGCTGGAGATGTAGCACCATCCAAACAGGAAGCTGGAGATGTAGCACCATTCAAACAGGAAGCTGGAGATGTAGCACCATCCAAACAGGAAGCTGGAGATGTAGCACCATTCAAACAGGAAGCAGGAGATGTAGCACCAGTCAAACAGGAAGCTGGAGATGTAGCACCATCCAAACAGGAAGTTGGAGATGTAGCACTATCCAAACAGGAAGTTGGAGATGTAGCACCATCCAAACAGGAAGCTGGAGATGTAGCACCATCCAAACAGGAAGCAAGAGATCAGAAGAAAGGCCAAACATTCCCCTCATGCTGTTGAATGATGCCATTATAAAAGCAAAGGTGACATTTGGAGTGTGAAAGGGCTGGTTTCACATGTTGAGCTAAATTTCACGTGAAAAAATCTAACTCATATGTGGCATTGATTTTTCACATATGACAAATGTAACATTTACATTTTAGTCATTCAACAGACGCTCTTATCCAGGGCACGGTTTCCCATAGCGATGGAACTTAGCCTTATGAGTGTTTTAACAAGACATAACATTTCTCAAAACACCACCAAAGAGACAGGTCGCTAAGTGCGTCGTTGGAGCATGTGTCCATGCAG